CCATCCCCCAATCCAGAGCTGCCCCATTCCCGCCCCCAAAAGCCAAATGTGCCCCATAACCCCCCCATCATGACCCCCAACCCCCCCCCCAGCTCCCAGCAGCACGATGTGGCACGAGGCGAGGAAGCACGAGCGCAAGCTGCGTGGGATGATGGTGGACTACAAGAAAAGGGCAGAAAGGCGTAGGGAATACTATGAGAAGATTGTGAGTGGGGGTGGGGGGGCCCTGCTGGTCTGTTGGGGGGTGTGGGGGGATGTTTGGGGTCTAGGGGGATGGGGAGAGGGGGGGAAATGGGGAGGAAAGGTGGGAAAGAGTGGAGGAATCGTGGGGGAAATGGAAGAAGGAATGGGGAGAAATGGGGGAATGGTGGAGGAAAAATGGAGAGGTGGAAGGAGAAATGGGGAAAAGGTGGAGGAAAAAGTGGGGGAGAAGAGGGGGAGAAATGGAGAGGAAAATGGAAGGAGAAATGGGGTAAAGGTACAGGAAAAATGGGGAAAAAGTGCAGAAAAAATGGGGGAGAAGAGGGGGGAGAAATGGGGAAAGAGTGCAGGAAAAAATGGGGAAAAAAGAAGAGAAATGGGAAGAAAAATGGAAGGGGAAATAGGGAAAAGGTGGAGGGAAAATGGGGAAGAAAGGCAGGAGAAATGGGGAAAAGGTGGAGATAAAATGGGGGAGAAGAGGGACAAATAGGGAAAAAGTGTAGGAAAAATGGGGGAGAAGAGGGGGGAGAAGTGGGGCAGAAAATGGAAGGAGGAAGGGGGAAAAGGTTGGGGAAAAATGAGGAGGAAATGGGGGGAATAATGGGTGAAAAAATGGGGAAATGGAGAGGAAAAGGTGGAGAAGATGGGAGGAGAATGGGGAATTAAGGAAATAAGTGGAGGAAAAACGGGGAGAAAGAATAAATGGGGGAAAAATAGAGATAAAAGGAGAAAAATGGATTTGAAAAGGGAGAAAAAAGGGGGAGAAGTTGCGGGGGAGAGGAAAGGAGGAAAAATGGGGAAAAAAGAGAAAAATGAGGAAAGAGAAGAGGAAATGGGGATAAGAAAGGAGGAAAACGTGGGGGAAAAAAAAGGGAGGAAAAATGGGTTGGGGGGGGTGAGAAATGTGTGGCATTGCTGCCCCTGGGTGTCCCCACGCCGTCCTCAAAGTCTTGTGGGTAAGAAACCAAATTCCTTTTTTGGTGTTTTTGGTGTTTCTGTCAGAAAAAGGACCCGGCCCAGTTCCTGCAGGTGCACGGCCGTGCCTGCAAGGTGCATCTGGACTCGGCCGTGGCGCTGGCAGCAGAGAGCCCTGTCAACATGTGAGTGGGGGGGGGTGGATGGGGGCATCCATGGGGGCGTTGTTGGGGTGTCATTTGGGACATCCGTGGGGGCGTTGTTGGGGTGTCATTTGGGGCATCCATGGGGATGTTGTGGGGTATTGTTGGGGACGTCCATGGGGGCAGTGTTGGGGTGTCACTGGGGACATCCATGGGGGTGTTGTTGGGGTGTTATTGGGGGGATCTGTGGGGACAGTGTTGGGGGATCATTGGGGACATCATTGGGATGTCATTGGGGACATCATTGGGATGTCGTTGGGGACAGCAAGGGGACGTCCATAGTGGTGTAATGGGGACGTCTATAATGGTGTAATGGGGACATCCATGGGGACTGTGTTGGGGGATCATTGGGGACACCCGTGGGGACATCACTGGGGTGTCGTTGGGGACAGCAGGGGGACGTCCATAATGACACCCACGGGGACATATTTGGGATATCGTTGGGGTCATCGTGGGGACGTCGCTGGGATGTTACTGGGGGCATCATTGGGACTTTGGGGGAAGATCCATGGGGATGTCCATGGAGGCATCGTTGGGATATCATTGGGGACATCCATGGGGACATCATTGGGATGTCTTGGGGACAGCAAGGGGGCGTCGTTGGGGTGTCATGGGGACATCGTTGGGGATGTCATTGGGATGTCACTGGGGACATCCACGGGGACTTTGTGGGAAGATCCATGGGGACGTCATGGGGGTGACATGGGGACATCCATTGGGGGGCATCATTAGGACATCAATGGGGGGACGTCCATGGGGATGTCATTGGGGTATCATTAGGGACATCATGGGGATGTCATTGGGGTCAGCAAGGGGACATCCATAATGATGTCATGGGGACATCCATGGGGACAGTGCTGGAATATCATCAAGGACATCCATGGGGTCATCGTTGGGATGTCAGTGGGGGGGAATCATGGGGTCATTGTAAGGATATCATTGGGGACATCCATGGGGACGTTGTTGGGGACAGCAAAAGGACATCCATAACGGTGTCAGGGGGACATCCATGGGGACGTTGTTGGGGTATCATTGAGGACATCATGGGGACATCGTTGGGTACATCCATGGGGATGTTGTTGGGGTATCATTGAGGACATCATGGGGACATCGTTGGGATGTTGCTGGGAGCATCATGGGGACTTTGTGGGAAGATCCATGGGGACATCATGGGAATGACATGGGGACGTCCATGGAGGCATCACTGGGGACATCATTGGGATCTCGTTGGGGACAGCAAGGGAGCATCCATAATGGTGTCATGGGGACATCCATGGGGACATCGTTGGGATGTCACTGGGGACATCCGTGGAGGCATCATTGGGGTATCATTGGGGACATCCACGGGGACAGTGTTGGAATGTCATCGAGGACGTCCATGGGGTCGTTATTGGGATTTCACTGGGGGCATCATGGGGACTTTGTGGGAAGATCTATAGGGACATCGTGGGGATATCGTTGGGGACATCATGAGGATGTCATGGGGATATTGTTGGGGACATCACGGGGATATCATGGGGACATCCACGGGGACAAGGTTGGGTTGTCATTGTGGACATCTTTTGGGACGTTGTTGGGGTGTTATTGGGGACATCTATGGGGACATCCATAGGGATGTCACGAAGGACATTGTGGGGACATCTGAAATGGTGTCGTGGGGACAGTGTGGCGATGTCATTGGGGATGTCATGGGGACACTGTGGGGGCATCACCGGGATATCTTTGGGGACATTGTTGGAATATGGTGGGACGTCCCTAAGGGTGCGTTGGGGACATTTGTAAGGGTTTTGTTTGGGTCGTTATGGGGGCGTCATTAGTGGGGCTGTGAGTGGGGCATTTTTGGGGTGAGTCCTTGCGATTTGGGGGGCATCTTTCTCCCTCTTTGGTATCTGGGGACGCCTTGGGGTCAGTTGGGTTGGATCTTTGGGGTTTGGGTGTTTGGGGGTGGCTGTTGGGGACGTGTCCGTCTGTCTGCACAGGATGCCGTGGCAGGGAGACACCAACAACATGATTGACCGCTTCGACGTGCGGGCACACCTGGATTACATCCCCATGTACACCCCCCCGCTGCTCAACCCCGTGTAAGGATTTGGGGGGCTATTTGGGGTTGTTTTTTTTGGGGGGGAGGGGGTTTCACAGCCCCTCGATGCACTGAGATCCCAGAAGATCCCTGAATCCCGATGGCGATCCCATTATAGATCTGAAACAAGGTCGTTCCCTTCCTGAGTTTTTCGGGAATCAAAGCATGATATGGAAGAAGGGGGCTCCCGAAATCCTTTTGTGGTCCCTTGTTTCTCTCCCCCC